ACACGGAGCAAATATTTCCAAGTGAGTTTATTCCCTACAGCAGTTAAACAGATTGGAGTGTGGTGGCTGACCCTGTATCAGTAGCATTTAATGTAGCTATGAAAAAAAAAAGGATGATTGTGTTGGCCCAGATCACACATCAGTACAGCTTGTGGATGAGGTATTAAAAAGATTTTCCTTTGATATAAATTCATTCCACTGAGTCGATAGACCTCTGACATTGCGAGTCACTCTGTAGTCGGTATCATGCACAAATTAGGAACTCTAGGTCTAAGCAGATTTTCTTTATGTGAAAAATTAATGATTTTCTAAAAAGCCCCTCTGTTGCACCCTTTGGAAAGCCAAAATATCCCAAACCTGATATATTTAAATCCAAGACTCCTGTCCATCAAAATAGTGTTGCATGAAAGTAAGCCTTCTATTAAATTCCATAACTATTATATTGCTTACATGTACAAGTAGTCATATTTTTTGCTCTTTAAGGACCTTAATTTCAGAGGATCTGGTAATGTTCAGAGGAAAAACATCCATATAGCAAAAAACATCAGCTTTGGAAATTTTTTGGTGACACCGACAATTTCTGAAAAAAAATGAATGTCCTCACAGTGAAAATTCAGCTTAGACCTGGAGTTCCTAATATGGGCATGACAGCAACTGCAGAATGACAACACAAATTCAGAGGTCATTGAATAACACTAATACTCTGATGATTTAATTCTATTTCATTTTCACACTGCTGTTGCCATTATACTTCCAGTTGAAGTAGACTCACATTTTTATCTTCCTTTATGCCTTTTTTTACTACTCCCATTATTTCTCAGGTCATCTAGGTGCTAAGATCCTTTTGCCAATCCCACAAGCTCTCCAAACACAAAAAAGCACTTTGACAGATGTGGAAAAAGTTGCTCTCTCGAGAAAGGGGTAAGGAGAAAGCAATGACAATGGGGCTGCTGTAGTCTGGTCACTCCCTGAAGAGTGTACAAGTGGCATAGTGCTAATGCAACACTGGAGTAAGTGTGACCCCTGCTAATACTGACAGAAAATGTTAGCTTGAGAGACTTGTAAAGATGGTAGCATGGAAGCTAAAAAAACAGGCAGACATATCTCTACCCAAAAAGGTCCTAAGAGACCGAGCATTGTGAAACACAAATTGGAAGTAAAATGCTTAAGTGTAACATCTACGTGTTCCTGGAACAGCTGGCAGCCCTGAATCAAGATGTAGCCATAGAGAACTGCATGGGGAAGGACACAGTATTTCTCACTGTTATTCATATATTTCTAAGTCTGCCACTGTGCTGAAACGTAGTAGTGGGATCAACCGATATACCAGGTAAAATCTTTAAGGTACGAGTTTTGTCATGATCTTTACATATGTATTCCACAAATTAGTGCAGATAACACAACATGCCAAGAGTGCAAAACATGCCAATGTTTGTCCATTTTTTTTAAATGGCAGAGCCAGGGATGTTTCAGGTCATGTTTCAAGTAAAAATAAAAATGCAGTCGTCAATTGATCATCCCTTGCTGTATAGTCAGTTGTAGTCTGAGGTACTCAGGTAGAGCAGATAATAAAATTATGCGAACATAAATGGTCAGTCTTTTTGGGGTTAGCCATTAGACATGGAAATCAGCCCTTTTTAATAACTATGAAACGTATGAAGGTAACTTCCAAGTTCCATTCATCTACACTACTAGCGCTATTACCAACACTCTTAAAAATTAAGGCTCTAAAAGGTTTCTTTAGACCAATGTCACAGAACTGCTTTTAGTTCACTAAAAAACTTTGAGAGGTTCTTTCAACAGCCTTTAAAAGAGCCATTCTGGTAAATGTAAACAAGATGAGCAAATGTGAAGAGCCTTTTTAAAGTTTAAAGACCCTCCAAATAATGCAAAGGTTCTATCTAATAGCAATTAAATTAAATTCCCAGAAACACAGATCCAAAACCAATAACAAATGGTAAGCTTTTATTCAAGTAGGCTATGTTAAAATGAGGTGACTTCTCCAAAATGTTCAATCCCCCTCCTTCACATCTGTCTATCATATGAAAACAAAATGCATCAGGAGCAGCTTACTACAAATGTCGATGGTAGTGTGGTTAAGCCAAGAGAGAGGAAAGGCAAAAGGAAAGTAGGGCAGGTAAACCTTCGCCTCCAATATGTCATTCGTTATCACTGGATAAATTATGAAGAGCTGTCTTTGAAGAGCCCTCCTGTGAGGATTTGGCTTTGCGTTTGTGTTAAAAGCAGTGGAAACAGTGCAGGAGTATGTGAGTGCCCACACTGGTACCAGAATCAATGGTGGGATGATAGGCTCAAAGGCCCTGACAGTCTGCCTTTCCAGTGGCAGATGGAAGAGGCTTAGACTCGGGCCCTCTGAAGTCTGCTGGATGCCTGTGCGGTTGGTCTCAGGAAGCACAGAGAGGGTGAAGATAAATCCACAATATTCGTCTCTCAGCCTGCCATGTGTTCACTATCCTTGAAATTTGTCCATGATACTACTGTATTAATCAGAAAATATTAAAGGAGACCTTGCCCGTTCACATACACGCTGCTTGTCACTGTATCTACCATTCAAGAAATCGTCGTAACTGTCTGTATTTAACCAAGAGAGATGCGATAAAATGTGAACATTCATCCCCATTAACTTGAGGCTAACATAACAGGCAAATCCCTATTATCAGGCTAGTGGACCTATTTGTTGGGAAAACAAACAAACTTGTTTAATCTTTTAGCGTAAAAAAAGGTTAAAATGCAGAATATAAAGACTAGTCTCAGCTCCAGTTCTGTGTCATTTGCACCCAAGTTTGGCCACAACTATCAGGATTTTGTCAGCTGCATTCTGATTTGCTAGCCACACATCTGTGTATATACACTTCTAAGCGGTGTTTGTCATTCAGATGGGAAATAAAGTTTTGTTTTTCCCCAGCTAAGCTCTAGTCAGCAATAACAATGAACAAGACATATTTCAATGGCATTTTCCCAATCACCACCTTCTATAGACTTCACAAAAACAGTGAGCTGTGACCGATCATTTTGCATGTCAGTCAAACTGCCTCTCCCTGACAAGCAAGGTGGTTCTCAGTCATGTGGCGGAACTATACCAAAAAATAAGATATGACTGGTTTTATACTATTTACAGTTGTCTTTCCAAGAGCACAGGGAACTACATGAAACTGGAAAAAATGAGTAAAAGGCCTCCTTTAAAGTCTTCTTATCCCATAGAGAAGGAACCTTCTTAGAAAACATCAATCATGCTTGTCTGACTCACCCACAGGTTTAATCCTGGCCTCTAGCTGCATAATTAGAGGAGATATTAATAATTTGAGTATTTTAGGGTTGCTGATTGACAGGAGTATTCTTGTATTTTTAACCAATTTTCTAATTATCAAATTGACGGCATGATTCATTATACAGACAATTACAATTTTGGAAACGTACCCAGCATTTACAGAAACAGCCAAGCTACAAATAAGAATTAAAAGGCTTTATTCATGCTACACATGACTGCCTCAGAGTTCTAGCAGTCATTTGCTATAATATTTGTATTTTACAGTAGTAGACACACAGTAGTTTTTAATAGCATTCCACTCAAGCTAAACTTTTTAGAACCTAATGAACCTTCATAACCTCCATGTGTGTGGAGGTATCATGGGGTCAATGACCAGTGGGGGCCTGCTCATAGATCTACTTTGTGAGGGCCACAGGAAATCAGTGACAGATTTGTGTAGCAGGAGTGCACAGCCTGAAGGCACAGGCAGGGGTTCCTGGCCCCTACGATCACAGACCACATGATAACTACACACACGTGTACGTGCACACAAACCAGCCTGATCATTACGTGATCAGCATATGGTCCCTACAATCAAAGCAATGTCATGGGACAGGCATCAAGTGAATTTGTTTCTCTTTCAACAGACACAGCACACAAAATATCCATCCGCTAAAGTATTTGAAAGCTTCAAAACATCATGACTCACAGGTCATTTTGCATATGTTCTCACTGCCTAAATCATCAGATTGGGTCAGCTTGACAGTCATCAAGGTGCATTTCACATCTGCTTCATTTTCCATCAAAAGTAAATATTTAACAATCGGCAAAGCCCGTCTCATATTAGCACCACTGTTCCACTGCGGCAGACTTTTGGATATTGAAGTGACATCGTATTTATAATCCGTTTGGGACTGCGTGCGGGCCGCAGAGTTCTTCTAAATATCCACGGCACTCAGCCAGGCATACAGTTCTAATCCAACAGCAGCACTCTAGAGTAATAATCCTGAAAATTGACAGATTAGATGAGGGATTATAGAGGAGACTTCGGTGTAGTCTATGTGAATGTTGGGTTGGTGCTAATCTCGCTAGTGTTGTGCTTTAGTGATTACAACAATTTAGGAAATAAGATAACATTATCAGTTTGAACACTCCAGCTAATAGTTAACATAACTAACATTATAATGCTTTTGGAAATATGAGACAAGGTAGTAATAGTATATATTTCAGTCCAGGCTGTGTACAAGTTAGATAAAACAGGACTGTCTAGGCTGATAATGAAAAGCAGTTTGCACCGCAAGACATCTCTCTCTGAAAAGTGGCATTTTTATCCTTTGTTTTATTATTATTATTATTATTTTAAATGGCACGAAAGAGATTTTTGTCTTAACCAATGAAAATGAAAGCGGTTCTTGACATTCCATGTGCCACTAGAGAGCTTTCATCAAATGCTCTGGTCTAGTCAGCTAACACAGATCACACAGATTCTGAAAAACAACAATAACACTGCATGGGACTATGTTGCAGAATGAAATTGCAAGTCCTTCCAAAAGCTTTACGTCAATTTTGTTATGAAAAACGCCAAAGAACAATAGACAACATTATCTATGATGTTTATCTTTTATGATTTAAGAAGCTTTAAGATGTTATTTTATGTCTAGAAAGTCTGTGATCTGAAAGCCTGCAATCTTCCTGATGTGTTTTGTGTTCGCCTGTGTCCTCATTCTTTCAGAAAAAAAGCAAGCTGCACTACCATATCGCAGTGATCATAAACTACCTGGGCCACTGCATTTCTCTGGGAGCCCTGCTGGTCGCCTTCATTCTTTTCATGAGGCTCAGGTGAGTTAAAATAAATTTAATGTCTAGATTATTTGGAAAAGATGTTTACATGACCACACTATAAAACATTTATGTTACATATACACCTTACAAGTAGCATACTCAGGATCATGACAGAAGTTGTACCTGAGCATGCTTGAGCACGGTATTCTTAAGAATGTAAAACCAATTAAGTGAAGACAAAATTGATCAGATCTAAAGCAAATAAAGTTCAAATAGGTGCTCACTAACGCTTAGTGTTCCTTAACCTCTTAATTAACCACACTTCTATAACTCCTTGTAGTTACTAAACATCAAACATTAGAGAATGTAATAAGCATGGCGTTCAAAGGGGCTCAACGAACTACCCTATTCAAGGAACTGGTTCCATGAATATTCTGTTTCTAACTTAGTAATAGTTAACTTATAGTTATAATATTATAACTTAATAGTTATAATAATTAGCTTTGCTGTCATGTATTCAGTCTTGGGTTCAACACAAAGGTGCTTAAATCACACAGAACTTTAATTAGCACTATTGTTCTGGCTTTTTGCCAGTCCTCTGGGCAAGTGTACCCACTACAAACAGAGAACAGGACAATGCTGCAACCCATCAGCAGAGCAATTGATTTTCCAGCTGCTGACAAGAACCTAAAGATTATATATGTTGAGGCACCATAGTTGCTGCCCTGGCTGTAAGGCCTAAGCATGGTCAGCTTTCTCATTTCCAAGGCTGGTCTGCCCAGGTTATTTTCCAGCTTTTCATTGCACCTTAAAAATGACGATGCTGCATGGTCAGTGGAAAACTACTCTTTAATGAGAATTTAAGGGAAACGTCAGAAAAGCAGTTGCCCAGCTCTCAAGAACATCTTCATATGCCCGATTTGATTAGATCTGAAGGAAATTCCAACAACTCTTCAGAAATGCACTGATAGACTTTTTTGAACAAAGACAAAACACAAAAGCTGTACAAAGCAAAACTTGACTCTGGATTATGCACAACTCTTTATTAGCTTGGATCAACAACCAAAATGAAGCTCCTGGAATACGTGTTTCAGTGTATCTACAATCTTCTTTAAGTCTGCTTTATTGCAGACTGAGAGGTTGTGAGAGAATTAAATCCTGCTTTGAGTACTCTCGGCCAGATTATCCCTGGATCAGACTGCCTTGATTAATCTGGGCAAGATATCCATTCCTGGTTCCAGGATTCCCAATCACAGCATCTCATTCGGAGTCAGATGAGCCAGCCTGAAATTTTTTGCATTAGTTCTAGTCATTGTTGCCTGTGAGACATGCTGGTGGAGACAGCGACATCCACAATGCCTGTCAGCCTCCCTATTAACCTCTCCCTCCCCTAGCTAATCTCCTAAAGTCATTACGTCATGGAGAGATTGTGCTTGAGGGCAATAAATGGAAAACAGAGGTCATGAAGTTGCAGGCTGTCTGGCACTGGACTTCTCGTAGAGCTGCGATGTAATGAAATAAGCATCAGGAACAGATGTCCCGGGTACACACTGTTGTGCTTCCACACTTAGTCCTCCATCCTATATCCATCTCTGACCTAAGGGACTCTATATAGGGGGTGAGGGGGCAGCATTTTGAATAAGCTTGTTAGTGTTTCACAGGGATATCCAAGGATATCTATCTGTGTTTCTAAGAGGCCTGATCCTTTTGGGCTGTGCAGCTCACACAGAGCTCAAGCAGCTGTCACAAACACTGAGAACCAGGAGGCTCGAGATACATATCACCTTTGAATCAAATATCTTTTACTAGGATACAACTACTTGTTACTGTATCATAAGTCAGAGTGTAATTCTTTAAATCCATTGTATGCTAACCAAAATATTATTTAGAGAACTAAGATTTTACATGTTAAAAGGCAGACAGACTTTGCTGAGAAATATGTATAATCAGCTTGATTCGATTATGCAAATATAGCAGTAATGACCTGCCACCTTGGTGTATTGTGTAAAGGCTGAGATACTGCCTACACATCTCTTGGATTATGTAACACACTGTGCAGTCTAACTGTAATTTCAATGTGCAGATCCTCACAATGGCAAGCTTGAATAGTTAAACTGAATATTGCATGTAGTGGGATTAAATGCAGCCTTGGAATTTCTTTCCAACTGACTGCAGCAGTCAGATGAATCAGTGTGGGCTACACCAGGGACAAAGCCTGCCTGCTGGGAGATTTTGAGACATTCTTGCAGGCATGTAGCAAGTGGAAGCAGAGCTGGGTAAATGGATGACATTCACCATCTCACTTAGGCATTCAAGTGTGAAAAAAGAGGCCGAAGACCAGTGAGCAACACAGTGAGGGCTAACCTCACAACACCTTAGGTCAACCCCACAGTGACAAGGCAGTGTTGAAGTCCAACATTTCGTATCGTATTTCATGAAATGTAGCTTTGTTCAGAGTCGGACAAAGACTGTCTTCCTGTGCAGTGCAATACAAACACTTCCCAAATGTCTCCAGGGCAGCTGTTGCAGGCATCAAGAAAAATAAAGGAAATGCACAATAGTCCTTTTTTTGCATCACAGTATGTCATCAAGCATAGAATTATGAGGCATACTTTTGTACAATCCAAAATGATTATTTCCAAGTAGCCCACAAGGAAAATCTGCTGTGAGATTTTACTATTCAAAGTTTGAGCCGTGTTTACTGATTCTAAGTTACCCACAGACCTAGTGACTCTCTTCTTTGGAAGGGATTCAAAGAAAGGTGTTTAACTGTGTTTCAAAAATAGAGTTCATACATAATACTTCCAAGCAATCAAAGTTAAATGTGTGTTTGTTTGGTCAGTCCTCAATTATTAAACAATAGGAGCTGTCATACATGCTTGTTTTAGTTCATTTACACTGCCTAGAATACTGCCTGTTTCAGTGATTTCCAACAGAAAATTATACCACAACAAAATCAGTACACTGTAGAAGCATTGTGAGAGCGGTGAAGAGCAGTGAGAAGGCTTCACTTAAGCATTACATTGTTAGCCTTGATGATAATGCTATTAGGGAAGCATATCTGAAGGTCTGGGAATGGTCTGAGCAAATTAAATTACAAGTTAAATCTCAATTATGCTTCTTGCTACCCACACTTTAAAAGTCACTTTTTAAATGTTAACAAAGTTAATTTAATCGCTCTGAAAGTTTCTGTTGTCCTGCAAGAGGAGGACCTCTGTACTGCTATTTGTGTCCGTGCTGACGTAGGAAAGGGTAGCAGGGTGAGAGAGGCAGCAGACCTCAGAGCACATGGCCACTGCATGAGGCTCTGGCCCGGTGCCAGAATCCTGCGGGGTCCTGAGTGTACATGGGCCACTCTCTCCAGCCAGGCCCCAGTATGGGATGTTACCGGTACATCTGCACACCATTTGGGCTGTGAGGCGCTTTGGGAGGCCCTTTCGTAAGCGCTCCAGTGCCGCAGGAACTGCACTAAGCGGGCATGGATCTCTAAGGCGGGCCCCCATGTGGAGAGCGGAACCAAACTGTCTTAACGCTCTTCTTCTACCCCATCCATTTACACTTCCCCCCCCCCGTTTATGGCCTGTTCATTCTCTCTCCGATAACCGTGTCAACAGCAGGGGATCTTCTAGCCTGGAGCTTCTTGTGCCCTAAGACCGGCCTCACTCATTTCTACAGATAATTCATGAAAGGACACCGCTCAAGCAGAGAAAGCCTGATGGTCTAGATCAGTAACACCTGAGTAATAGTAGGGAGGTTTTGAACAGACAGCTGCTGTAATGTACTCCCATTAATGCAGGCGGTAGCAGAGGCCATAGTGCTTACTCAATGGCAGGCACTAAGCGAGGCTGTTTAACCCAGTCAAAGTGACAAAGAGGCAAAAAGAAGAAACAGGTGACATCTTGAGTTACCAAGAACTGAATCTTGGCCATATAGTTTGTCATAAACATCATTAGTAGTTAAGTAGCTTAAAAAAAAACAGTTTTGGCGGGTAGGAGTATTTTTTTGCAGTATTGGATCACTGCTTGATTAAGCAAACACTGTCATACAATCTGTAGTAACAGGCTGTATTTTCACCCTTTATCCAAGTAAAAATCAGACATTCCTTTATTGCATTAAAAGGTATTTAAATGGAAAGATATTTGGTATTACTAGCATTAGAAATCCTCACTTGTTAACATTCACTAAAGCAGATGCGTAGAAAAAAAGGGAATATTGTCAGTTTTGCCTACTGCTGGAGCTCTTGCCAGGATGACAGCTGAAACATAACCCTGTGGGCACTGGCTCAGTCATCTCCCCAGCACCAGAGCGAACATTTCAAACATATAACTGCCAGACAACATAGATTTACAGCAAAGCCAGGGTTGCTTCATCCTCCAAAGCCTATTTTTTTCATGGGCCAAAACTGCTGTTTTAAAACAGTGACCATGAAAATGAATTACTTTTACAAGTGCCTATCTTATAGAATAAAAAGGCAAAGATAGCAGCATGAGCAGTTGCAAAATGAGCTGGTTTTCATGGAATGTATACTATTTGGATAAGCTCTCTGTTTGGTCACCTGAGGTTTTACATATACTGGATGCAATTAATAGGCATTTCGCTGGAAAAGTATTATTAGTTTGGTACTAATGGCATTAACAATTTGCTTCATAGGTACCACAGTAGGCAAGCACCCAGGTTTCCACTGGGGAGAGCTTATGGCCTGAGAGTTGGAGCTTAAAACTTTATCCGCTTCCTTGCCAGTATGTTCAGTTATGCCACCATCAGGAATGCCCCCTGCAATGGAGCCATGGAGATGGTTGGCACAGACATCATCTCTGTGACTGTGATCCATAAACCTGTAGCGAAGGACAATATGTACACACAATGGATAGATCAGATATTAGACAGTCGTTTTATATAAGTATTTTGATTTGGCAGGGATTTTTTCCCCTTCTCATTATCTCTTTCCGTTTCATTTCTTTACATACTGAAGCTTTATCTTAATTTACATCATTACATTTTATATTAGCACTATTGCACTTTCACATTCATTCGTCATATATATAAATTCATATTCA